AGGAGGCGATGGTTAAGGTTGTGAGGAGGAAGAGGATTCCGACTGAAATTCCGACGACGTAGGGGAAGCTGCCGACATCGCCGGAGGAAATTGGTCCTCCGGAATCTGTGGAGTTGTTCATGAGTTGGAAGAGAAGGTAAATTGGAATTGAAGACAGGATTTATGATTCTCAGCCATGGCCAAAGGGAGAAGAAATAGTCAAGAGAGCCAATTTTTTTTTTTAAAGAAATAATTACGTAAACACAAAATTTAACCATGTTTATTTTAACAAAGTTTGATTATAAAATTTGTCTCAAACTTTTAAGTAACTGTGATTATATAGGTTGATGTGTGATTATGACTTACTTGATGCGCCAATGGGTGGTGCAGTGTGTGGTGTTCGACCATGTATACTTCTAACTCCAAGACTTAAGTTAGAATTTAGTATGAGTTGAGGTCGAGTTTAAGTAAAAGGCAAGAGATTGCATAAAAAAGGTGGGACTCTATCTTTTGTATTGGAACTGTGACTCTCGTGGTGGCACTTCTCATCCAACTAGTTTTTTACTAACAATTAGAAGATCCTCTAACAGCATAATCGTCTTTCCATCAAATGTTAGTTAGCGGATTTCCCACAAGTTAGAATTTCTAGGATAAAGCCGAGCTAAGCTCTGCTTTCACAAGCGTGGGTCATTCCCATTTATCCTAATTAATAATATATATTTAGTTTTTGAATTTGAACTTTCTATTTTTGAGTTACATCACTTGAGGAGGAAAAATTCAAATCTATGTTTTCTTAAAAGAAATAGAGATGCCTTAAACATTTCTATTTAGCTATTGTCATTGACAAAGAATATTCACATGACTTTATTCATTAGTCTATCCTATTATCTACCATACATGTTATAATGCAAATTTTGACAATTTTATTTATAGGCATATACAACATTTAAAAATCTAACATGTAAAATATATAGAGAGAGATTTTAAATTATTTATTCTTTTCGTTAGAGTGTCTTCCTTCTAAAATTTATGACTCTACGTTGTTAGGTGGTAACGATCAATACATTTGAAATTTTTTTGATAAGTCAATATATCTCATAATTGTAACATTATTGAACTGAAATTCTCATTAAAATATAATATGTACATGAAATATGGACGAGTGAACAAAATTAATAAGCTAGCAAGGTGTTAAATAATCATTGGTATTTTTTTTAGGTCATAAGTCGAACTCTCCACTAAAAATTTGTGAATGTAATACTCTGGATGGAAATAGAGGTTAACTATAAAGGTTTCTAACAAATTTTTTTAGCTTTCAAATGTGCTCATATAGGTGTTCGAATTTTCAATTTTATGTTGAATAAGTATTTGTCCGTCTTGCATTGTGAGGGTCATGATTGTAATATTTAAGGATCATGAGTGGGTTAATTTTGAGCAAATTTAAGTGTTTCGTTTGGTGTACACAAGCATTAAATTTATGAAGTTTACCACAATGATCTATTTGACATATGATTGAATGTTTAAGGGCTTGTTATAATCAAATGAATATAACTTTAAAACTTACCGACATGAATTTTTTTTAAAAAAATAAGACGGACAAAATAAACATAACTGAACAAAGTTAACAAACTTAGAAGTAGGTTAAAATACATTTTGGTCCCTATATTTTTAAACTTTGACTTATTTTAGTCCCTATACTTTGAAAATGTTCATTTTGATCCCTGTATATTTTAGTCATTCTTCGCAAGATTTTAACACAAATTTTACACATAACGGAAACTATTTAGTATAAAATAACGTTTACATTTTAAAAAATATATTTATTATAATGTGGTGTTGAGATTATGATAGAAAATGAGATTTAAAATAAAATAAAATGGTCAAAATAGTTACTTTTTAAAAATACAAGGATCAAAATGAACATTTTCAAATTACAGACTAAAATTTACCAAAGTTGAAACTATAGAACCACAGTTAGGATTAAAAATATATTTTAACTTACTTTTATTTTAGGACTTTTTTTTTTCAAGTGTCTTGGTTGCATTGGACAATAATTTTTTTAAAAAACATTTTTTATTACAGCAATTCAAGTTTCTCAAGTCAACTGTGCCCGCGTCGTGAGCTGGCAAGACACGTGTGGTGGACCCCACTCAGAACATATATTTATGTATTATCATTTTATTCCTTAAAAAAAGAGTCGTAAATTTAATGAAAAATATTATTTTGATTCCTATATTTCTAAAATTTTTATTTTAACCCTAATATTTGTTCTTTCGTCTATCTAGAAATATTTATTTTCGTTCTTATGCTTCCATTTTTTTTGTCTATCTTAGTTTACATATTTTCGAAATGTTTGTTTTAGTGTCTGTACCTTTTAACAAATAGTTTGAGTCTCTTTATTTTATTTTTTTTATCCATTTTTCAATTATACACTGCATTACAATTAATCTATTTCTTTGAAATGTGTTCATGAAACTCATAACTTTATAAAGGGTTTTCATTGTTTACAGATCAACTATGTTAAAGTTTTGCAACTAAGGAGAAAAACAGTCACATTTTAAAATTGTAAGGACTAAAACAAACATTTTGAAAGTATGTGGACAAAAATAAACTACAGTTATGAAAGTACAAAAACGTCAAAATGAACATGTTAAAAATATAGAGACTAAATAAACTAAAACTAAAACCTACCTGGACCAAAATAGTGTTTTAATCATATAAATATAAGTCTCAATATAATTTAAATAAATTTAATTGATCTAATTCGTGTACAATACAATACAAGTTATTTCTTTATAGATAAAAAGGTCTCACATCAATGACTCACCTTGAGGCTTTTTTTCTTTCTTTCTTTCTGTGGCCGAGTTTACTTTAACAAATAAATAAACATTACAAATAATTTATAATATGTGATTTTGATCGAATTATTAAATATTTTTTTCTAAACTATGAGAGTAATATCATGATGATTTTTTTTTAAGGTATCACGTTGACGTGGAAGATTGAATCTCAAATCTTAATAACATGATAATTTTTATCGAGTTATTTATCTTATTATTATTTTTGTGGTAATATAATTTTCCTTTTAGTTTAACAAATATGAAGGTCGAAAATTGAACTATTGACTTTAAGGATAATAATAGGTGTTTTATCTACTAAACCATGTTTGAATTGACTTTGTGGTAACGTGTTGACATGTATTTAAACGTCTTTTTGTCAACYAAGAGAGAATCTAATTGGGGTTCCATTAAAAAGAAAGGAAAAAAAATGTTTGGTTGAGTTAAAATATGATTGAATTAGTTAGATTTGGTGGTGTGACAACATTGAATAATGTAATGGGGACATGTCTAAGTAGGAAAAATATTATCTTATTGTTATATTTTAAGGAATTTAACTTATTCGATTTATTTATTTATATATATCTGCAATCAAATAATAAATTTTTATTTGTGGGGTTGAGATTATTATATCTATATAAATAAAAAGGATGTTTAGGTTCGTGACACATGCTTTCTTTATTAAATTTGACTTCGCAAGAAACACTATTTTTTACATTGTTTATAAAACCCAAATTTCTATAACTCACCTATTTTTCTACCCGAAATGATATCTTAAATAAAGTTTCAATATTTCAACCACCTCTTCATTAAAATGTACGCAACTTTTAAATTTTAAGAGTTTATTAATATTTATAGATATGTGAAAGAATTTTATTTTTTTAGTTGAATAATTATGGGGCGTAAGATTGAATCTTCAACTTAAAATAGGTAATTAGTGTCTTATTTACTTGGCTAGGTTGGAAGTTTAGAATTGATACAAAATAGGAGATGGTGATGACGATGATAGCTAGCGACAAGAGTACAGTAGTGAGTTCGACCAAGATGGGAGAGAGAAAGAAGATGGRAGGAGAAGAAATTTCGATATATTCATAAAATACAGTCACCAATTTAACTATCACACCATTTCTTTTGGTTAGTCAACTAATAGTCAAATGACTCCAAATACCATTTAGAACCATTTTCTAAACTTTAGAGACTAAAATTGTCCAAACTTGAAACTTTAGGGACGAAAAGTACATTTTATCCTAAAATTTACATTATTAATGGGTAAAATATAGTTTTAATCTCTAAGTTTGAAGATAGGTTTTCATTTGGTCTCTAAGTTTTAAAAACTAAGAGTTTAGTCCCCAATTTTTAGAAAACAATTCTAAAAGGTCCTTATGATTAAATTTTTATTGGTAACACCTAACAGAATGCTGACATGACTTAATGAGTTGAATATTTATTTAATTTTATATTATTTGTTAACATATGTGTCATTTTTTTTAATTTTAATTTTTCTTTTTCTTTCTCTCTCTTCCCCTCCTCCCCTCCTCTCTCCCTCTCTCTCTACCCTTCTTCCCTCCTTTGTGAAGCTCTGTTCCCTCCTCCTCCCACCTTATTATGACCGACCAATCATCACCAACACCACTTGCTTCCCCTATTGCCACGGTTTAATCCTAGGGACCTTTTAAAACTACTTTTTAAAGGTCGGGATTAAACTGTCACTTTTGAAAACTTAGAGACCAAATATAAATTTATCTCCAAACACATTTTACCGATTATTATTTCATTTTACCAATTATTATTTCTTGAGATACATCTGTTAAAGGGGTAAATATGAAAATGTGAATGGGTGAGGACAGATTTGACAATTAGGTAATGTGAAAGGGCATTTGTGAAAAATTTCCTTCCAATTGTTAATGGGCTCGGCCCACTCGAAAAGCGGCCCAATTAAAGTTCGAACTGGAATCTCTTTCTGCTTCCCCATGAAGTTTGACTCATCAGTCATCGATCTCCGTTGAGAAGTTCCAAGTTCCAATCATGGCGATTTCCGATCTCTCACCGGCGGCCGCCGTTCTACTTCTTCTGATGGCGGTGGCGGCGGCGGCGGCGGTTGTACAAGCGAGTGACGACAACCGAGTGTTCTCTCCTTGCACGGACACGACTGTAAAGAAGTCCGATGGTTTCACGTTAGGGCTTGCTTTTGCGACGGAGCAAAAGTTCGTCTTTAATAGAACGTTGAAGCTGTCTCCTTGCGACAGCAGGCTCGCTCTTACWGGCAATTCTCTGATCGCCGTGTTTAGGCCTAGGGTTGACGAGATCTCTCTCCTCACCGTCAATACTTCCGCCACTTCCTCTTCTTTCTCTCCGGTTAGTTCTTCAAATTGTTTCTGTTTGCCCTTAAATTGAAAGTAGATACTAGTTCTAAAATTAGGTTTTGGTTTATCAAACTGGATGGGTGGGTTTTTGCCTAATCAGTGGGGTTTTATGGGATTGGAGTAACAGGCTTGTATAATTCTCCTATCGCACTTGGTTTTGGTTTCTAAAACCCTAAGCTCAAAACAGGGACGTAAACAGATCCTTATGGAATTACTTCACATGCTTTAATTGGGTGAAGCAAGGTTGATTTGATTTGGGATCTTTTGGGTATCAATTGTTTATGTAAGGGAAATTTATACCCAGTTGCTCTATTGGTTGACATTCTGCACGAGCCAATTTTTACAAGAAACTCAAATGTTGATCTTTACTTGGAAAAAAGAGAATTTCAGTGAAGATGTCTATTAAAGCGTTTTTCTCTCGGTTGGTGCTTGAGCGTGTAGACAGGTAGTTTGCATCTCCGGGGCTCGTTTGAGTTACCTTATTTAGCTTAATTGAGTTCCCTTCTCCCGCCTTAAAATGGTAATTATTGGCCTGCTCTGTGCTTCTGTCTCTATTTTATGTCACAATGAACCAAAACATGCTCGGTTAGATGATTATGCTTGGCCTGTTCTGTCTGCTCTGTTTCTTATTTGGAAAAAAAAGGAAGGAGGAAATTAGTATCTCTGTTAGTTTGAGTTTCATTGCTAACACAAGGAAAAAGAATTTCTACTAGTTTATCTACTTTACTTTGCTAGCTTTCTGTTCGTACTAGTCATGGGCTTTTGGTTTCTTTTTCTTTTCAGTCTTCCAATGGTTATATGGTTGCATTTGCTGGACGGAAATCTGCTGCAAGGTCCCCTCCAATTTTTGTTGCAGATGAACAACATATCGTAACCAGCTTTACTCTGGTAAGTTTATGATGTATGACATAGAAAGTAATGACATAAGACATGGGCACTTGGTGATATGTTGTTTTTAAGAATATATGGCAGGGACAAATGTAACAAAATACAAATTTCATGAAGTGTAAGAGATACTGAGGAGAATAGGGGATTAAGCTAGAGAGTTTCATTGTTGGAAATGACAGTGGGAAGGCTGATGAAACATGATAAGATTCGGCTAGTTATTTGCATGTGTTTAATACATTTGCAGGGCAAATTAGTGTCTGTGTTTCCTAACCTAGAATAATGACTATGACTGTCTATTGGGCTCTTTGTGATTGTTTACAATTTGATATCAAATCCATTTTCTCATGTACACAGGTGCTCGAGTTTGAGAAGGGTAGGCTGCAAAACTTGTTCTGGAAAAGGGACGGTTGTGCTCAATGTTCGAACAACAATACCTTTGTTTGCATCAACAATCAGGCTTGTGCAATCAGAACAAACAACTGCAAAAATGGTGGGGGTTCTGTTGATTGCAGTCTTTCGATACAACTAGCGTTCTCTGGCACAGATAAACACCTTTCTGTCTTCAACTCTTGGTATGAAGTGTCCAAGCTCCGCCAGTACTCCCTATTCAATCTTTATTCGAATCTCAAAGATTCTCTCACAAGTCAGTATAACAAGATCTTCTGACCGAGTATATTTTGCTTTATGTTTATTTCCATCCTTGTATATTGTAATTCAGTTTGTGCAACAGATTCCTTTCAAATGTTTTATATTTCTCATCAATTAAGAGTGTGATTATAGGCAGGGCTAGTCTTGTTTGGTAAATTTATTTTCAAGCCATTATACGTAGACATGGATAAAACTAAAAGTATGTTGTATACAAAATGAAAGTGTTGAGTTACTTTCTCCACCATTGTTGCCTTTCACTAGTTTCAATGTATTTTAGTGAGTTACTTCATGATATTGTTATAATAATTCATTGTTCCATCTTGCAATCTGAATTTTTGCTTTTGTCCATTTTGCCAATACAAGATTTCTTTCCATATGTAGTATGGTGTTGCTAGAACATATGGATGCGTCAATTAGAATCCATATTTCAGTTTCTATTATGAAATTGAATTTGAGTCATTTGAGTGTTGATATCAATTTTTGATGTTTAAATAAAGATATTAAAACTTCAATGGTGACTATTATCTCGTGTACACCCAACACTCGGTCTAGCTGAAAGGATGACTGAAAAGGAAAGTGCATGTAGTGTGAAAGACTATAGACTTTGTGATGAAGTTTTTTTTAGATCGTTAGGCCACTGCCAACTATTTTGACAATTCAATGTTGTAAGGTCAAGCAGTTGTGCATAAGACAATGTTGTAAGGTCAAGCAGTTGTGCATAAGACGAGTGATATTTGACAAAAAAAAAATTAATAAGAAATTAGTTTTTAAAATGGTTATTGTATTAAATTTCAAATATGTCTTTCTAGCTTACCTTATTTTCACCTTAAATTTGAAAAAAATTTATTTCTTTTCTTTCTGAAATTTTTATTTCACTCTAACTTTATCTTTAATTTGGTTTGTTCTCTCAAATTTTTTTTCTCTAAAATTTTTTAATCCCAATCTAAATTTTTAGTGTACATCTCTTTCTAAGCTTATTTATTTGTTTCTTCTCCTTCTTTAAAATTATTGAGGTTGATTATGTAGTTATATATATCATGTTTTTATTCATCATAATTATTTAATAAATGGTGTTAAATAATTTTTTTTAGATATATGTTATTAATTTGATGATTTTAAAATCACTTTTCAAATCAAATATAATTAATCATTCAAAATTTTAATTAGATGAAAATTACTTGAAGTGTCTAATCAAATGTTAAAATAATTATATAAAAATCATTTGGCATTGAATATCTGTTGCTATCTCTCATTCTAACTAAGAGTCGTGCCCTTAGAGTAGTGTATGATCTCTAACATTGATTAGACCTTGACATTATATTTCAAACTTGAAATGCAAATTTAATCTTTTAATGTAATATGTTACCCAAAAGAAAAAAAAAATCTTTTAACGTAATAAATTATATGCTTTATATTTCTTTACTTTTTTTTAGTATTGATGTATATTTTATACTTGGTATCATTCATATCATTGTAAAATATTCAAATGACCATGGCAATCAATAATTTGGAATATATAGATTTATAAATATTTTGTCAAATAATGAATATAATCAATTCTATTTTAACATAAAAATAAAAATAAAAAAAGGGTAACAAAATAGTTATTTTTCCTTAAAATACCACTAAGTTTATTTTGGTTAAAGTCGACGATTTTTTTTCTTTTTTTCTTTTGAATTGAGTGAAGATTCGAACTAACGACTTTTTCGGTTTAAATTAGGTGTCTTAACCAAAGCTAAGCTAGTTTAGTGGGTTTAATAAGGTGTGGATCAAACCTAATTTTGATAGGATAATACTMCTCTTGCTTATTTCATATATTAATTATTATTTCATATTTGAATTTACAAAATATTATTTACTTTTAATTAAAAAAGTTTTTATAAAATCATTAATGAATAAAAATAATAATTCATATATATATATATTTARCAAATTCGAAATAAAGTAACTCAAGAAGGCTGAATCCAAGCGTGGCGATGTTATATGGAAATTTAGATTTCATGTCATCACTGTAAAAAGAATTTAAACTAAAAATTGACAAGTTATACACATAGTTACAAAGAAAAATTTTAGAAAGAGAAAGAAGAAAAAAAAAAGAATAATTTTGAAGAAAAGTTTTAGAGGAAAAAGGAAAAATTTTTAAGAGAAGAAAGGCTTTATAGAGTGAAGAAGGATTGTCCTCCCAATATATTATTATAATACATTTTGTAGTTTTTCTTTATTTAAATTTTTAGGAAGGAAAGATTATAAATATTTTAACAATTTTATAAAATAACTATAAATATATAAAATAAGTAAGAGAAAATTAGTTTAAGAGTAATAAGATAAGAATAATACTTAAAAAAAACTAATACTTAGTGTGCCTATTAGTGATAGCTATTTATTAAAAAGAGAAAAAAGAAAAAAAATTATTTATTTCTTTTTATTTTTATATTCCTCTCCTRTTGATCGAAAATCTAGTAGTAACTAAATTTGCTTTTGTGAGAGAAACTATTTTTTGGACTCAAACTCACTTGTTGAGGTTGTAAATTTATTCTACCCAARCAATTTTTATTAAATAATAAACTCAATCATAAAATATTTGGATTAGGTTGGTTCAGGTTATCTAGGTCACTTATTCAAAGTATTGTATATCAAAAAAGTTAATGGTAGTATCTTAAATATTTATTTATATATTGTCTAACATTGAATTAAGATCCATCTGTCGATGTTTATTTATATAGTGAAAAAGTACACTAAAAAAATTTTACAAAGTTGTTGTATAATAAATAATTCATAACAATTATTCATTTTTACGATGAGCATAAAAAATAGTTTTAAAATTAATAATAAGTTTATTTTAGGTGAACCTTCGAACTAATTCAGCCCATAAAATTTTATTTATTTGAACCAAACCCAACCCAAACCATATGAATTGAGGTGGGTTGATCCATTTTTCGGGTCATCGGATTTTTTTGAACATCCCTAATTACGATAATAAAATACTTCCTTCGTTCATACTATAGTTTTGTTTTCATAAATAATTTTTAAACGTTTAATGGTCTTAAATAATTTTTAATATGATGTGAAAGCAAATATAGCTCAATAGTATATCTCCAATCAAGAACTTGCGAGTTCCCCGCTGGCAATGCAGGTAGATGGAGAGAGATAATGAACACTCTCTCACTTCTTAATTATCAAATTTTCCTCACAACTTTTTCTTTACCCACCGACTTTCTCTCACTCATTTCTCTAGGGCACTTTCCCACTCAATTTTTTTTAATAAATCTATTTGTTTCCGTTTTAGTAACTTTCAACTATATAGTATTTGAATTAAGTTTATCAAAATCACTTTTTAAATTTGATATTTGGTTACATAAAAAAAAATATGCAATCTAAAAAATGTCAACTCTTTAGGTACAGGTTTAAAAACCTTTTTGGTACTATTTTTCACTTTTGGTTCATTTTGATTTCTGTTTTCTAATTTTGTTCATTTTAGTCACATTCAAAACATCTATAAATTTAGTCTGTATTTATAAAATTCTGACACAAATTTTATACACAATAAAAAAAAATTATAGCTATATTCTAAGAAATTTAGTGAGGGAAGTGTCATATTAAAATGACGACGATAGAAAGAAATGAGAAGAAAAATGAAAATGATGGATCGAAATGGTCATCTTTTTTTAAAGTAATGAGACAAAAGCAGACATTTCGAAAGTACAAATACTAAAACAAATAAAAGTTGAAAGTACAAGACTAAAATGAATATTCTAACGATACAAGATCAAAATGAACTAGAATTGAAAGTACGAAAATCAAAATAGCATTTAAAATATTTTCTTTTTGTTGATCTTTTGTATGAGTAGACCAATCGAACGATGATAGGCTAATAGAAAAGATGAGTTGTCAAGAAAGTAAATATCGAGGTAATTGTTTAGAAATAAAGCCAGAAAATTAAATAGTACAATCTCATTCTTAGTTGTCATTTTGACTTAACCAAACCTTATTACGTGTGAAATAGAATTACGGTTACAAAAACAGTTTGAACTTTTAATTTATTTACTTTTTTTTTAAATAATAATTTTCAATTGATATTTAAATTAAAACAGCATTAAATTAATTGATTTTGGTTGGTCCTGTTTTTCTTTTTTCTTTTTCAATTTTATAATCAAGAATTAAATTTAAAATTTAAAATTTGTTTATTTTGTTCTCACCTCCATTACTCTCYTCTAGTTTTCAAGGCTACGAGTTTCTAAAGGAAAAGTATGATCCCTTGAGATTTGTGGAATGATTCCTTTTCTATGTTGGAATTTTGAGAAACCACATCATCTTTTAGTTTAAATTATTCGATAAAATTTAGGTGCYTATCGATAAGTAGATGTTTAATATTGATCGTCATTTAAAAAAATGACAATTAAAAGAGACGAATACATAAAAGAAGAGAGRGAAAATATAATAAATAGCTGTTATATTTAACAGTGACAAGKGGGTATCTAAGTTTTATCCTAAATTATTTATATTTAGGGTTGAAATTTGAAAATTTGACTTGATACGTTCAATAATATAATGTCAGCGTTGTGCACGTAGTGTTTTATTTTATTTTATTTTTTTGTAAAAAGAATTGATGATCTTTTCACGTGAATCAAAACCGACAAAACAAGTAAAGTAAAGTTACGTCATTTTTGACATGTTTAGTAAGGTCAATTATTGAATTACTATTTCAATGTCAAACAACGTGATGCATTACTATTGGCGATTTTATTATTTTAAGATCAATTAATCATTATATAGTTTTCAATTATTACTAATTTGTTTTTTCGATGACATTTGTTCTCCCTCGAAAAGAAGATCGTATGTTTAGAAGTCAACGGCCGTTCTTTAGATTACTATAAATAACTTATCGATCTTTTAAAAGTAGAACGATATAATGGTAAGGTTTTCACCTGACTTTTTACTTTTTTTTTTTTAAATAAAATCACTCTACAGCTTATAATAGCAAATAATTTCTTATTTTACATTGAGACCTGCAATAAGAATGTGAAATTAATTCAAATTTAGTCAATCTCCTTTTTTAAATTAAAATAAATCATAAGAACTAGAGAACGAGTGACATTTTTTACTCTAAAAAAATGAATTCTCAAAGATAATAAGCCAAAAAAAAAAGTATAATTAACTAAAAATAATAATTAAAATGTCAATTGCATGAGTTTCTTTTTCCCCCTTTTCCTGCCAAAAAAAAAAATTTGCATGAGAGAGAATCCAAAAAGCATTTTGATCCAATCAATTTATACCACCAATTTAATCTTCAAAATCAAGAACATCAATTCTTTATGTACAATATTATAGGATTTATAATTTAATCTTATTTTTTGTACTAAAAAATTCTTATTTAAAAATTAATTAATATTAATTAAAAAAACAGTCTTGCAATTGTGAGGCGGGTGATTGYGCTCGGATCAGAAGAATCAAATAATTTAGAGATTTCAAATAACCTAAATACGRGCTCAACTTAGTAACTACATATATCTCAAAAYAAAACAGTGAYGAGTTCAAATCCTCACTCTCTCACGGCATTGTACTAAAAAAATAATATGACCTAACAAAATWATCTAAGACATAAATATCTTCCTCGAGGTTAGAAATGTGAATGCCCACAGAATTGTAGTATTGAAATAAAAAGAAAATAAAATAAAACTAAAAGATAGAGATAAAGATAAACTAATAGTCAACTTTAAACTGAAATATTGTTCATTAGTAATCATCATACAAACTCAATTGGCATAAACTAGATCTCTCTCTCAAATCTCTAATGGTATGTTTGTTAAAAACAAAGCTAAACTAAACTAAACTAAACTAAACATTGGATTATTTTCTCTTAAAATTCTTGATTTTAGTTCAACATTAATTTCCACATTAATCTACACTTTGAGAAGGAAGATTTTTAGAAGTGATCATCAGAAAATTGAAAGAGAGTGAGAGGAAATTTGGTGTTGAATCCCAAATTCCTCCATTATTGAGCACCAAATTGAGAGCTTAGCAATCATGGAGTGAAGTGGTTTGGCCATCCCTTGTTCAGAAGATCATTTTCAGTTTCGATTTCGTTTTCATTTTCGTTGCTGCTGCTGCCTCCAAACAAGCTAYGGAACAACTCTGCATCGCTTCCACCACCGGCGCCGCCGCCGTCGCAATACATTCCCATGCTCATGTCGCCGCCGATTCCGATCAAATCCATAGGACTGGCGGTGTCCTGATCATCCACTCCGCCGTTGATGTTGCTCACCAGTTTCTCAATCTCACTCATTCCACCCGACGAATGATTTCCCCCAAAATTCCAATGCGACAACAGATTCTCATTATTATCCTCAGCAATTTCCCCTAATTTCCCTCCGCCGAATCCCTCCGCCTCGCATCCGGTTGCATTTCCCCCCAAATCGCCGACGACGTGAATCATCGAATTCGAATTTCCTCCTCCGCAATTGAAACCGTTTCCGATCGCCTCGTTCTGA